TTTTTAATAGGGATTTTTTATTTGACCTAGAATTTTGATATTGCATGTGAATCAAGAAAATTTTCTACACGTGGTGATACATGCTCAATGTTGTTTAATGGAGTTTTTAAGCAATCTTCGTATCGCTTCTTCATCTTCTAGATTCGTTTTTTATATATGAAACAATGTTACATTAATTGTTAAATTCTGAGATNTGGTTTATATCCAATATTGCAATGCACTTCCGGTTGATTANTTGACAGATTAATTGGGGTTAATGGTAACAATATTGATCAAGAATCTTTGGTTTTGAGTCGGATGCCACATTGTTCAATTATTTACCTGAAATGAGTTGTAAATTGTTTGTTTTGTAATATTCCTTTTTGATTGATTTGGTGATTAAACGTCATCCAAAGGTTTATTATAGTTGATCTTAATGGTTGACTGTAGTGATTGCTTAATCTTTTCACATTGATAGTTGCCACACATACTACACTGCTTATATCTAATTTGGTATCCATTTCACCCCTTGTATTCGTAATCGTTATATGCGGATATGACATGATACAAAAGATATATATGTATAGATTAACGAGCGACTCTTTTTGTCGTTGTGCCTATTTCTTCTTGCCATGAATTTAAATTAGGCTTCTTTGCTATAGAGAAACCCCAAACTATACTAATTGAGTCTACGGCCACCATATATATACCACAGTGGCCTAGTGGGTTCACTAAAACTAAAACCACTAGACAACAACCATTTGTTCAATGAATTAAATATTCTTCTATCTTAATTTGGTTGTGGATAATCTTATCCATACAAGCAAGGAAGGTTGTAAGGGGTTTCAAGCAATCCTTTTGACATTTTCCTGATGAAGAAATCTCAACCAATTCTTTTTTAGAACATTTCGAATGTGGTTACAGTGAACCAAACTACATTGACAAATCAGAATTGACAATGTGCTTCCTAAGGCTTATAGAACAATCATAAATGGAATAAGAAAAATTTCTTGCAAAATTGGAAATGTACCCTTGTCACTGTGTATATATAGCTTTTTCTCATTGCCTTGTTCATATTAACCCCACAAATGCTTGATCATGAAAATATTTGTGTTAAATTGTAACTAATAATGCACATACATAAATAGAATTATGGGGTTAGAAACCTTCTTTATCTTTAACATTAGTCAAACTCTAGTTGTAGCTAGTGTATTTTGTAGTTCCTTTTATACCTTAACTTAATTAGTGTCACTACACAAAGTGTTTTGACCTGAGATTATGATTCATATGCGCCTTACTAACAATTTAGTTTTTCTTCTTTTTGTGATTAATGGTTAAATTATTAATTCACACTAAGAACGTTAAGATAAAGTGAATATTAAGCCACGCTATATTCATAATATTGCAATAGATCATTGACAACACATCTTAGAAATAAAGTCGTGACCTTCCCTGAAATGCTAAACCCACTTACGCTAATCCGTCATGGAGCATCCAGACATCGTTTAGCCAAAGGTTTTGTTTTCAATTCTCTGGTTAACTCTATATGTTGCAAGCATCAAATACTAGGTGGGACTTGGATTTAGTTTTTTCATATATATAAATAGTCAAAATATAAGATTATTTCACTAACTTCTAGAAATTTTCCATTTAAGTATGACATGAATTCATCGAGATTTTTCTTTAGGAGTATGTCTTATATATACAATCTATCAAATTTTACTTTTTCAGTCTGCCTTCATAGTGATTTAGAACAAAAACTGAACTCATGGGGAGGAGATAAAAGATGTTGTGAAGTGAAATTAGAGCATTAGAGTTTCTG